AAATAAATTTTTATGATATTAAAGTAATTAGGTTTATTTCCTAATAAATTGTTGCTAAACTATTATTTCCTCGATTCATACAAAATATTAATTCATTAAATATCGTCTAGCAGATGAATGCGTGTATGTACATACATATGTATGTATGTATGGCATTGGTATTTTACGTCTACGTTTACACAAATATATGGAATTATATCAAACTATAACAAATTTGGAGTATAATAAAGATTTAATATTAAAAATAATGCAGCTTTCTTCCACTATTTTTAACATTGAGTGATTTTAAATTTTGTTCCGACAGCATAATCACGTCCTAGAGTATCTGTACGAATCTTCATTACGAACGGATTCAATGAAGGCTCTTTACGAATTTCGAATTTACGTTCGTAGCCATTCGGATTCTGTGATAGCACTTTCGTAGATTTCACGAAAATCGAAGCTACGATGGATTCTGTGATAGCCCTGATTAGCATTTCGCTCTCGCAAGCAGAACGCTTAGGATAACATTCGAAAAAAAATCTTTAATTATGTCAAACTTCAGCTTGTTATATGTGTTGTAGAGTTCATTGAGAGACTAATAAACCTTTCCTAGGATTTCCAGAAACACTCCCGGTTCTTCCTCGGCAATTTCTTCTCTGGCCCATTTTACCAGTTTCCAAAATCGAGCTATTTGTGATAAAATTTTTCTTTCCAGCTTTTTGGCTTTTCCAGCTTCACCAGATTCTGCCATCTTTTTTTCATTAAATGATTTAATCAATTGTATATTGTTTTTTTCTTCTCCAAAAGAGCCGTTGGAGGTAATTGGTTTGGTCGCCTTGTTGACCTTGCTGTGCCTCGACTCACAGCCGATGTGTGCTCTTTTGGATACAATAAATAGATTATGCGTAAAGTCTCATGCTTTAACGACTTACAAATCTGATATGCCTATACAATTAATAGGGCTTCTTTATTATTATTTTAAGTGCGGAAAATCTGTTCCCGTCTTACCTTGCCGCTTGAGCTAAATTTTTTTAGGCTCGTATGGACCAAAATGTTCGGTCCTTTTTATTGTCGGTTTTGAGGCTCGATTGACCAAAATGTATTGCCTATACAATTGATAGGGCTTTATATATTGTGCCTGTACAATTACAGGGCTTTTTTAGTTTGCCTATATAATTTATAGGGCTTTTTTGTTTTGCCTATATAGCTTATAGGGCTTCTTATTACTATTTTAAGTGCGGGAAATATGTTCCCGTCTTACCTTGCCGCTTGAGCTTAATTTTTTAAGCTCGTATGGACCAAATGTTCGGTCCTTTTTATTGTCGATTTCGAGGCTCGATTGACCAAAATGTATTGCCTATACAATTGATAGGGCTTTATATATTGTGCCTGTACAATTACAGGGCTTTTTTTAGTTTGCCTATATAATTTATAGGGCTTTTTTGCCTATATAGCTTATAGGGCTTCTTTGGTACTGCGTCAAGTCTCTCTTGCTGTGACGGCTTCCATACATTTATGGACTAAACTGTCCTTGTGCCTATAAATTTATATGGCTTTTTATTGTGCCTGACCAAATACAGAGCACTTCTTTTAGGCTCGTAACGACCAAAATGTTCGTTGCAGAGCTGAGTCACTTGTTCAATAGCTCGGGTGGGGGTAACAAGCAATTCTCAGCAATGCTTGAACTACAAATACTCTTATTTTAAAATTCTCTACCCCTTACCATTGGTGGGGGGGAAGTAGAGTCTAATAAAATAAGAGGTTAGTACTTTCAATATTAAAATTTTTTGCCCCTTACCGCTGGTAGGGGGGAAGTAAAACTTTAATAAAGAAAGAATAATAAAAATTGTTAAATGCTTTACCCCTTACCGCTGGTGGGGGGAGGTAAGGCATACAAAATAAAATATAGAAGAAGAAGAAGAGTGTTATTGAGAGTCTTTACGATTCTGCACTGATTATTAAATAGTTTCCTTTTATATACAAATTCTAATTCTATTTTCCTTAACTAATTGTAAATACATATTTTTTTTTTTTTTACGAGGAGGAAGCATCGAAAGCCTATACCCGTCAGTGTGGGACGTTAACCCGAACTAAACCTCCTACTGTCCGAGTACCGAACCCCCCCGGTACCACCGTCAAGTATTTCGTCGGGAGGCGGTTGAGCACTAGACTCGCACGTTCGTTCCAGTCGGTTGTACTCAGTCCTTGGCTACGCCTGGTAGGCTTTGCCACGTCTTGTTTAAGGATAATTACCCTTTTTTAACTATTTATTTATTATTTATTTATTCATTTATCTCTTAGATACAACTTATTATTTTCGCCTTTATAGAGAGTAAGAGCAAAAACCTTAAAATGCCTTATGCGACGAGTTTCAAGCCCGCATACGTATGTATATTGCCTTTGCGGTTTGAACGGTCTAGGTTCCAATCCGCACCAACGCCCCGTGTGGACGGAAACTGCACTTTATTTGCGGCTGGAACGCCCTAGGTTCCAGTCCGCGCCTATTTTCGATTGCAAAAATTTTTTTTTTTCGAGGTTGCCACTTGGGCGGCTGGAACGCCCTAGGTTCCAGTCCGCGCGTATTTATCGATTTTACAAATTTTTCGAGATTGCCACCTGAGCGGCTGGAACGCCCTAGGTTCCAGTC